GGCGGCAGCCCCGATAGCGACATCGTACTGATCGCGCGAAACTGCTTACGGAGCCTGATAACAAACGAACAATTAAAAAAAAAGTTTAACCCTACTCGGGAGTGAAATAAAGAATTCATTCCAGGTTGCAACCTACTCTATAAAATCGGTCAATCCGTTTAGACTAGAAGTAATGGAATCAATAGGTAAGGAGATAACTTTATTATCAGTGGTAGAGTTAGCAGCTTAAGTTGATTATATTCAAACTGGCGAACACAGCGAAGTTAAGTTAGTTCACTAGGTACAGCTATGCTCATATAGCAACTTTATTCCGTGATGTAAGAGTTTCTATGGATAATCTGTCAAGTATTGAAGATTATTTCGTAATCGATAATCGGATTCTATGACGTACGACGAATTAAAATCATGCAGACTCTTTTGTCCAATATAATAAAATTTAATTAGGTTATACAAGATTTATAACTTCATTTTAGTTTTTATATGTGTAGGATTACCATGTTTATAAGTGCAATTTTGTTTAACAGAAAAATTTCTACCACATCTATTCGGAACCGTTAAATCGACCAATTCTATAATCATCAGTGTCACGAATGGATAATTAAATGTTATTATGTTAAAGTTACAAATACACTACACCGTTACTTAAAGTCCATCAACAATTAACCTATTACGTATTTACTAAAACAATTATAATTATACCAAAACGACCATTTTTATAGATGTTACATTCTAGGAAGAATTAAGTTTAATGAGGCCAGTGTTTTTTTTTTCTTAAATACCTTTAGTTTCAATATAAAGCCATTAAGCATATCAATATTATTTAGATTAAAACTTATCAGGAGATTTTTACTGACGTATCCACTGGATAGAATCCATTATTTCATATCAGTTTCCTATCAAAATAATACGTAAAATTAACAAACTTTAATCAAGATAAAGCTATCATTCATTAGAACGTTTTATAATGGATATCATTTTACTTTGTCCTAGAAACATTATAGCTGTGTAATAATTTGCGATTTGAGCGAAACAGTACATTGTTAGCACGTTTCTATCAAATGACCTTTCAACACATTACCAACGCTTTTGGCAAAACAACTAACAATGTAAGAGGTTGTCTTAACATCAGATTTTCAAGTCCTCAAAATCCTCTGATTTCTTGTTATCTTACCTGGATTTGAGATCATCATCCGCAATATAAGCATAGGCCTGTTCATACATATCGTCCGTCTGTTCACTGGTCACCGAACACACGGCGTAATTAGGTTCTGAATCAGATTCAAACTGCTCGCTCGCGTCCGCGTCCAGAGCATCAGGCACATTGGATTGCGACCGCATAGTCTGGAGCTCGTATATCAACATCTCATGGTTGTTCATATCCTTTGTGATCTCAGGTGAGTCGTTCCCATTACACAGTATATCCGAATCTTTACCCTTGTCTATTACCGTGTTCGCTTCGTCCGTATTATTGTTTCTGCTCGCGAGGATTTCCGATATAAGCATTTCGGTAACACGAGAAGTTTTACGTTCAAGAGAATTGTTATTTTTATTCGGGTCCTCAACCGAGGAAGTGTTACAAACGTGTTGAGTATCAAACGAATTATTTTGTCTCGACGGGCTATTTCTTAATCTGTCGTCGAATTCTTGAACTTCATCAACTGTGGCGTATGGCGCTTCCGGAACTATATTCGATTCAGCTTTGGCGTCTATCGGTAAGGAATATGGACTAACTTCTGTCAATTCTTTCTTTTGTTTATTTTGGTTTGGTGCAGCTTTATTTACAGGTAAAGGTTTCATTGGTTTTAACTTAGGTTTAGGTGACAGTGGCGGTGGTGGTGCTTTTCTCAAAGGCAATGTTTTCTCTGCAAAACTAGAAGACTTTGAAACTTTGCACTTAGAATCTTGATCTAACTTGTTCGAAGTTGAAAGAGATCGCACTAAAATTTGTCTGCAAGTTTTCACTGCTTTAGAATTCAACGATTCATTCGACCGCTTCACGGATGTCGGTCCCTGAATACAGTTGCTATCACTGGAACTTCGTCTAGAGTTCTGGCCGCTGGATTTCTTTTCATCAGAGGACGAGCTGCGGTCACTGATCACATCTCTGATGAAGGATTTGACTCTGGCGAGACCATTTTGCTTTGGCGACACGATCTGTTGGCTCGTTGCGTACGTTCTGTCCAATGTTTTGGCCTTTTTAACATTGTTCAGGTCCTGTTTTGATGACGCTCGGGATTTGGAGAGACTTGATTTAGACTCAGTAACGGCCTTTCTCGTCTTAGCCAGAGCTTCGGCCACCAAGCTCTGGCTGGGCCGGGGCGGGACGGGAGGTGGCCCTTTGATCTTGTTAGTCTTCATAGGCTGCGCGTTGGTCTGTACCATAAGCATGCTTAAACGAGGCTTCACTCGTACAATACTATAACACGGGCACTATAGTATAATGAGCGCGAGCACGGCACTACGCGTCTTTCACGGCACTGGCGAGCGCTGGCGTGTGGCGCGTCCGTTCCGACCGCGGCGCGCGACTGACTGATGCGAAGCCGACGACTTAACTAAACGTCCGCGGCGCCGTAACTACTTACTGAGCCTTATTAAACTTTAGTTCGTCTACTTAGAATACATTATTGTGTGCACATTTTATGGATTGCAATTTTTAACAGTTTACATAGTTGGTAGCACACGGATACAATGACTTGACCCATACTTAAATTGTTGTAAAAGTGATTGTTTACTATGAGAATGGACGCAATACCGGCGGCCGCCACGCCGGGTGGCGCACGCCATGTTGCATGGTGGCCTATTGTCTGCGCGTACTCGCACAAGCACTCAGTGGCTCTTTGTTTCCGACCATTGGAACATTTCAGATAGTAAATGCTTGCGAAAACGAAATGCAAATCAAATTGCAATAATGATTGAAAGTTAGATAGCTTGGTGTTTAAACATCCAACTTTTGGAAAGGTTCACTAAATTCTGTATCTGGCAATGATAATATTTATAATAAAACCATGTATGTATTAACATTTAAAAGAAGTAAACATGTTCCCTTTCTTTTAATATGCACCAGCCTACTAACTAATATGGATTCTTAAGGGTATTCTGTAAAACAAATCCAGTTTAGATAAATGTGTTAATAAGAGGATTGAGGCAACTAGGCTGAGAGTGCTTCATTGAGTGCAATAACTTAGAAGGCTTGCACTTTAACTTTCAGCATATTTTATTACTCTACCTTAATTTCAATACTCTTAACACATTTTTTTAAAATGGATTAAAAGATCTCGAGACCAACAGTTTTATATAGAAATACAGAATGCAATAATTGACCAATTCCAATTAGTAAAAAAACATATTTTTATTGAAATTCAGGAAGTTAATAGTAGACACAATATTTATTTTATGCAAAATTAAGTCTTATTTCATGTGATTTAATACAATATATCATTATTTTAAGCTGGGTACCTATTCTTATAAAAATGTTTTGAGAATACCACTTGCTTCTATAAATGAGACAATTGTTTATTATTATAATGAAACAGTGTAATCTAATAATCTAAATTCCATAGATTATAATTAATGTCATGGTTATTATTAATTTTATAGTGGAAGCATGTACTTGGCACCATTAACCATCACAAACATAAGCTTAACACTAATTACTAAGACCGATGTACAACTTGGTCTCAATATTTCCATTTTAAGGATTTGCTATCAAATGATCACAATTTAGTATTGGGAAACTGGCATTTAATGTATATGTTTTATGTTACATTATGTTATCTACTCCTTGCAAGAAAGAGGAAGTGCTAAAGTGAATTCACATATGTGACTGATACATATTTGTAGGAAAGTGCATACTATGCCATCCCTTTGTAAGGACGAGGGCAGGTTCATGATGATGACTCCTAGTTATTATGTTGATAGAATAAACCTAATTGTTTATTTGACTTTTTAATGCCATGATTTAAGCTAAGTCTGGGGAGGGAGCTACCATTGACATAGTTGTATTAAAATAGTTTCGATATCACTAATGGCCCTTAATGTGCTTACCAATACTGCTAAGTATGAATCTCTTATTGGATTTAGGAGGAAAATCAATACTTACAATAAATTCACTTATTGTTGAATTTCCAATCTTGTCGGCACATAGGACACTGTTGTTGAGGTTGTGAGTGTAGCCACTTCACAATACAATGTATATGGAAGCAATGAGAGCAAGCGCCCCAGACAAGAGGGCAGTCGTCTCCGGGAAGCTTACAATCAGGACAACAACTGTCGAAGGGCATACGACAAATGCCGCAGTTATCGTCGTTAGCTATCCAACGCCACGTAGCAACCCCGGTCCAACCTAAAATAAAGTTATATCAATATACTAAATAATAATGATAGTCCTATTTTCACAAATGAAGAGAAAAATATCGATCTTACTTTTAACTGTGACCTTCATGGCTTTGCTACGTACATGGTTCAGATATCAACCTAGGTTAGTTTGAGATTAAAAGTGTAGTTTTAACATTATTTTATAATTGTTTTAGTAAAATGAACAAAGAATTAACCGCGATTAAAACACAAACAAATCACAATTTGATTTTGATAGACAAATCGTTACAAAATCGTTGACCACAGATTACTAATAAAATATTAAAAGTATTAATCTGCGTAAAAAGAAAATAATGCAAAACAACTTTAAAGCCACAAAAGCGCTGTGAAAGTATTAGTTTTATTTGTAGTTGCTATGTAAATCCAAAAGAAAGCCAATCCTATTCATTTCAAGCTTATATCTCGGTGCCATATATCATGCCAAAGTTTAAAATGCACCCTTAACTGTTGAAGGTGCAGTAATTAAAGTCCTTTTTTATCTTTAGTCAAATAACTACTATCCAAATCAGAATCAAATGCAGCTGATATTTTTATTCATGATGCTTTACCCTATATTTCTTAAAGAATACAATTAATCGTCGAATTTTTGAACTATACCTAAATGTCAAAGAGTTAACAAACGTCAGGCTAATGTCATTTAAATAAGCTTGAAATCTTGAAACAAGCAAAGTAAATTTTGTGCGTTGATGTGTTGGAAGTTTTTTGATTTTACACTTGATTTTCTATAAAGTAATTCAGGGAGGTAAAAATGACAACATTTGACTCAAAATACGATGTAAGTAGAGAATGTAATAGTGGAGTGAATTCTTTCTATGGGCATTAATACTGCAATTTCACGTATTTCAAAATCATTTTGTGCAATAATGCATATTTATTGTTTGTAAATTACTTTTTAATCATGTAAGAATTTCTCAGGATATTTTTATTTTGATGATACAATATATTTTGTAAAATATAATTTTACACTTATTGTAACAATTTCCATATTGATTCATACTACACGTTGTGTTATCTTTTGTTAGTAATATCATAAACATGGAAATAGCGTATTGAATGGATAAGATAAAATTGAAATATAAGATTTTAAACAATATATTTATGAATTGACTAAATGACCAATTATTTTATAATGCAGATGTTTCCCGCTGGAGATGTGGGTGTGGTAGAAGGTGAAATGAACATTCCATCTCAAGGAGGTCCTTCCGGGGAAAGTATGGAATTCAATACCCTTGATGAACCCATCAAAGAAACATTTGTAAGTCAATAAATAGTAAATAAATCTAAAATCTATACTGTTATATCAAAGCATAAACACACACTACTTACTTATGTAGGATGTCAGTAATCACAGCATATTTTTATATAACTCAGTTTATACAAAGGCCTACAACATGCATTGGGCTATATATTTTCATTCTATTAAACTTGATATTTCAAATATTTGTATTTGGATATTGCAATTTAAGGTTTTACAAAAGGTAAACAATAACATACAGTTTTTGTAATGTTATGTGGATGCAGTTGCACGGGAACTAGCTAGTTAAATAATAAATTCATAAGTAATTCATATTGTTTTTAAACATATTTGTTGCTCAAGGACCAACATAATGACACCTATTTAAAAGAATGTTATACAAAAAAATGTTCAATTAATTGCCTGGCAAAGTCATAAATCTTTACATTGTAATTTGTTTACCTATGCTTTGTGATTGCATTTCTTAATATTATACTTTCAGATGCGAGACTTAAGAGCTGTTGGCAACAAATTCTTCCATGTCTTAATACCCAGAGAAAAGACCAGTTTACTGAAGGATTGTAAGTTGATTATTTTATTTTTTATTTTTAATATTATACCATGAATGGATGGATGCATCTTAGAGTATTCCTGTAATAACTTATTTTGCCACAAATAAAAAACATTCTGGGAGCACTCATAAGCTGCTTAAATTTTTGTTTTATTTAGCATGTATGAAGTTGCGTTTAAAGATAGTGTTTAACTTGTCACCAACAGCGCTGCAGCCAAAAATACAAATCAAAAACTTCTTTTAACTAAAATAAAGTTTATTCCAACTTGTTTACATTTGTACAAATTATAAAAACTATCTCGCAACTACATCTTGCACCGCATCCTTCTATCTATTGTTTTTCCACTACTTTCTTAATACTTAAACCATGCAATCTCAGTGGCCAGTATTCAACCTCTTTGGCTGTATTCACACTTGTCAGCCAAAGAGGTTGTATTTTGCATTGACCAGAAAGTCAGTTTTTGTGTGTGTTTTGAAATGACTCATAACTACCGGGCCAATTTAAAAAAACCTTGCACCATTAAAAAGATATCACTAAGTAACTATATATAAATTCCACACGGATGAAGTCACGAGTAACAGCTAGTATCCAATGATCTTGTATTATATTTGCATCAACATTAAATTTAAAGAAATATTGTTACTTTTTTAATTTCCAGGGGATCTCTGGGGTCCATTGTTGCTGTGCACCTTGATGGCAACAATCCTACAGGGCTCCACAGAGCGCGCTGACAACTCGAATGATGGAGGACCCGAGTTTGCTGAAGTATTTGTGCTGGTCTGGATTGGAGCAGCTGTGGTTACGGCCAACTCGAAGCTGTTAGGTGGTAACATGTAAGTGCCTTCAAATTCACTCAAGAAGATATTTAAATAGCTTATAAAAATCTTAGTAATATGAACTAATTACTATTATAAATGCGAAACATGATGAAAGAAGATGGATGTTTGTTAAACTGTAGCTTATGGTTGAATGGCTCTCAATAAAATTTGGCATAGATGTGGAGGAGAGTTTAGAAGAACACATAGGCTATGTACTCTCATTTTTTAATTCTACGCCGACAGAGTCGCGGGCGAAAGCTAGTTATTATATAGAAAGTATTTTTTATGGTGTTGCTATAATTTCTATATGAATCATGCAGTAAACAATGCAACAAATAATTTCTTGATAACACTTTTTATGCCAACAATGTCCACTCCTATTAGCTTGAATACACAAAATTGTATTTCCTCTAAAGGTGTAAATAAAAATTGGAAAAACCTATAAATAACAAGGTCTGTTAAGCATTTCTGGAGATACCTAGTAACAAGCACCCATCCAAACAATCACATTTATGATAACCAATGTCTTAAGAACCTGTCGCTACAGTTGGATTAAAGGCTTGATTAAAGCAGTTATTTTAGAAACCGCATGTTTGTTTTATGGTGTTTTGTATGATATTTAAAATATACTATATTGAAAATAATATATTAAAATAAAAAATGCTAAACTTTATATGGATGTTTGAGTTGACAGCCTAAACAGCTGGATGGATCTCGAAGAAATTTGCCATATATGTAGAACATAGACTAGAACATATAGGCTAAGAATTTAGCTTGTTTAGTTCTTAGAGTATTCCATCTATTCTTTTTTCTGCTATTTACCTTTGCAGCTATTTACATTTCATCTTTATTAAATTTAGTATGTAAATAGTAAATATATATTTATGTGATAATTTGTTTGTAGATCATTTTTCCAATCCGTGTGCGTGCTGGGCTACTGCCTGTTCCCCATCGCGCTGGCGCTGGTGGTGTGCCGCGTGCTGCTCTTCATGACGCAGAACTCCTTCCTCTTTTTCTTGAGGCTCGTCATTTCTATGACCGGATTCATTTGGGCAACATTCGGTAAGAACATACAACTACACAACATTGATACTAATTATTTATTTATATTTCGTTCGTGGTTTTAAATCACGGTACAAATGTATTTTAAAAGTTAACATAAATCTTTGTATCCATTTTTGAGGTTCGTGAACAGAATAAACGTGAAATATGGCATTATTTTTTAAACAAAACTAAAAACATTTTGAATTATGTTCTACTATTAATTTTGGACATCAGTATTTTTTTTTACATTGAAATTAGCGAGTTTTAAAGATGTCTACGGACGCGATAATCGACAGACAACTTTTCAGCTTAATTACATAGATTAGCTTGAATTTTCAGTTGTCTGAAAATAATATTTATAAAGGACTGTGTACTATGTATATTTGGCCAACCCATACATTGTTAGGCTAAGGCCTAGTCGCTCTAGTTTAGTGTAGGCTACGAGTCCCTCAATGGGAGTGTATAGTGAGCTGGTGATGATGATGATGATGATGGCGGTGATGATGATGATGATGTTGATAATTATATCGTATATTATTGTTTATTGCAGCCGCGACAAAGTTTCTGGGCGACAGTCAGCCCGAAGGCAAGAAGGCTCTAGCAGTGTACCCAATATGCCTGTTTTACTTCATACTGTCGTGGCTTGTTGTGTCCCACAGTAACGTTTAAATTTTAGTACTTATTGAATATATTTGTATTTATTATTGTGATACGGACATTTTTTTAGAATAATTTGTGAATAAATGTGTTTTCTTTTTAAGATTAAGGAATTTATTGTATTCATTCGGTGACAACTTTGGATTTTATTTATTGAAGCCACGTTTCGTGACAAGCACAAGTTATCACAGAAGCCAAAACAATAACTTCTACACTATGTACTTTCGTGATTTTTAAATGACATTCCATTTACGAGTTGTTACTCCAAAATTACTTACCACATAACTTTTGTACATAATATTAAATTAAAATACTATTTACTGTCTGCAGTATTTTATTGAATACCTTATAAAAACATATACGTGTCTAAAAATACATAGCTTATGGAAATTCGAGACATTCAGTACATTTCGGGATGTGAAGGTGACAGCAGCTGAACTGTAGACCGGAACTGGAACCATAGACAATCTGTACAAGGGACGTGTTTTCACAGACTATTAAATTGATTTTTATTTGTGTAGAAAAACCAAACCTTACTATAAATAGAAGAAATATCTGTTAAACTAATTTAGAATTTTAACCTAACCTTTTTGGTATCATAATCGATTAATATACCGGGAATTAATTCATTATTTTTAATCTGTACAGAGTTATAACATAAATTAAAAAGATATCACATAAATAAAATCATAATCCTAAAAACATGCATATTTTTAGAACAAAATAACCTCGAAATATAAGCATTATTTATGAGTATGTTACGAATCTCGAAAATTACAGCAACCTACATTTACAATGTAAAATACTAAGAATCATATTGGAATGCATCATTTTTCATTTTATTTGTAACAATTTAGTTCTGCAATTTATTTTGCAGTTTTAGATTGAAATTTCGAAAGAATAATGATCTTCACAATTAGCGACTAAATTTTTGTCATGTTCGTATCATAAGGGATATAAACATACAATAGGTATGTATAATAGTTCCAAATATTGATATTAATAATTTTAACGAGTGTTCAAAATTTTATTTATCTCACTCCCAATATCCCAAACACTTTATAAACGATCCTTCGAATCATTGGGACCAATTTGTATATTCTTTAACTGCAATTGTGCCAATACTTGATCTAATTGACCATATGTTTGGTTACATATTTAAAAACTTTTATAAATCTAGCCTTTAGAGATTGCATAAAAGGTAAATAACCTAGCAAAGGAATACATTTATAAAATTGAAGCAAACACTAAATTACTTCTCAGGTAATCAAAAGGTCTAGAAATAAATTAAGACATATAGTGTGCGTTCGAAACATGCGTTGTTTCCAAGATCTACATCTTTGGTAGGCCGTAGCTTTTGTGCTATCAAATGATTTATTGTATTGTTATTTATCAGTTAGTTGATTATAAACTGTTTTCAATGACTAAAAAAGAGAAACATTGAGTTACATCTTTGTAATCATTATTAATGTTTTGCTACGACCCCACATTCAAATAAAACGTGATCATAAATTGCTTAAAAATAAACATTTTCAGTCGATACCAGTCTAAATCTAAACACCGAAAGCAAACATTCAATGTTTGACAGGAACGAAATTGGCGCCAACTCGCGTGGGCATAGACAAACATTGTTTTTTTTAGTGAACGCCATTCTGCCATTCAGCCAGAGTCTAACTGGACTCGGAGCCGCTGGACGATTTGTCGGGGGTTCTCGGCGGGG